CTGCTGGTTATTTTTGCTTAAATGTTTCTGTATGAGCAACAACATCATATGATTTTTGAAACTAGCTAAGTAATACGGTCTGAATTTCCAAACTGCAGTCACCACTAAATTAGGAAGAAAGCAACCCACAAGTTGTTGAGTAAGTTTTAATTAACGTGTTTGAATACTATTCCTCAAAGGCATTGTATGAACAGAAAATATAAAACATTTATGAAAAGCTATCAGTGAAATCATCCATGCAGAAGACAGCACATTTCCAGTTTATAATTAGAGAAAAAATTCTATTTTCTGACAGAAGTTAAGGATACTGTGTAACAGTATGCTATACACACCTACACATTACATGGCTTAAACAGGTAAGGGATAATTTCTACCACATTTCTGTAGAAATCATCAACATTGTTGCAAAATTACTACCAGATTTGCTACAGACCCTCTTAATTTTGTCTAGCCTAGTTGAGAATTCACGATTAAACATTTTTCCTACACAATTACTTACTTTTTTATTGTCTCTGTATAAAGCCTTGGCACCTCTTACTGCAAAATATTTTTACTTTAAGAAGGCAAAACTGATTCCTATTCTATCGCGTCCTTCAGTTTTAAGTCAGGACAGGACTGACTTACCCATAATCCAGTGGTTATCCAGTTTCCTTAGTCCCGTGACCAAGTCTGGAGACTTCCTAAACTTTTGAAGATATAGATCGTGTCCACTTCACCAACACCTCCACTTCTGTAGTAGCATTCTTAAAGGAGTTATGCAGGATTATAGAGTAGCTAGTATTTTGTATTCATCCATATATCTACTGCTTATCCATGAAAAAAACTCACGGCTCTTCTAAGTCCATTTCATTGTCCTATCGGTCTTGAAAACAATTTTACGCTTTAAAAAATGTGCTATACCTTGCTAAACCATGTCTGTGTTATCGGTTTAGTCTTCTTGAAGTCTTCCTATCTGCACCTTCACCAAACCTGAAGCAGCTAATCAGGGAAAAGAGGAGTAACTCCTTACTGGATGTCTGACCTCTGTAGGCCGTTGAGAAGATGCAGAGGGTGCACAAGAAGTCTCCCCAGAAATCTTGGAGGAGAAAGATGTTTTGGAAGTAAAACCATAAGACATTCAAATTGCAGTTCACTGATCTTCCACTAACACTTTTTAGTCCAGAAAAAAGCACCCAAACAAGAACAAAGCACACATTAAATGAGTACTTAGTGAAGTAATGTGGCACTCAACCACACAGTTGCCAGCTGTGATCTCATTAAAGTTCACAAGTTGAGTAAGGCTTGGCCTGATCAGTAATTGGAAAGGACATCTCTCAGGAAATTCTCTCAAAATGCTGCAAAATATTGTTTAGGTGATTCAGTAGATGGCACTTTTCCTTCTGGAAAAAAATACCCTACACCTCAGCTCAGTGTTACAAGCGGAACAAAGTGAACAGACCCACAAAGAAGTCATTTTATCATGCTGTTTTAATTATGCTATTTATTTTATGTGTGGAGTCACAAAGAGAGTTGGACTCTATGCAGGAAATCATGAGTAATCATAAAATGTACATGAATAACAGAAAAAATTTTTCATGTGAATCAGACCAGTCGTATCAGAAATACAGAAATGTAATTACTTTTAAATTTAGTCACTCCTCTTGTTAAAAAAAAGACAAAATAATTCAAAAAAGCCCCAGATGCTTACCTACTTGGGAGGCGCTGATGCAGTACCATAAAACTTTCAAACTTCTTCTTATATAAGAATAGAAACCAAGTAAGTACTCTACAAATTATACATGCAGAACTAGGTCCCACCTTCTCCAAGTCATTAGTATTTCAGACAAATAAATTAAAAATTAATTTGCTACTGCATGTTGAAGGTATTTTGTTTGGGATTTGTGTGATTTATCAAAGGTCGAAGTTGAACAAACTATTTTAGGTCAAAAAAACCATTTTTTGTTTGGATGTTCTGATTTATTTTAAACATTTTCAAACCTTCCGAACAATATCAAAGAATTTACAAAGCAGAAAGATAGCTGGCTGAACTAGCTATTTTGGGGAATGAGAAAATGAAACCTTAATTTATTTTCTATCCCTCTCTTGAAAATGTCCCTAAAGAAGATATTCCACATACAAGACAGTGAAGCACTGAAACAGTAAACCTGTCTTTTGCATCCCAGATGAGACTGTGGAAGAAAGCTTAATTCAATTGCTGCATGCTTGCATATTGGACACATATTAATTAAAATATTTATTGAAATCTTCAAAATTAGTCATGAATTAAATTAAAACCATGGATTAAGCTATAGTACAATGCCACTAATTTACATTCCAGGTGCTTGTTAAACCCAAGTATTCATCTTTTATCTTTTCTATTCTCAAATGATAGTGGGCTAATCTCTTTCCAAGATGGTCTCATGTTTAACTGAATGTGGTATTCTTTGCTTAATTCTATAACAATCCTTTAACAGTTATGCTGAGGAAGTCACACTGGCTGCTTTTGCTCCAAACTGTAGCATAGTAGTTCATTTGGATAGAGGCTGAAAGACTCTTCAGTTAAAGGAAAAAATTGAATACACTTTCTGAAGTGTGGTATAATTAAATATCATTATGCTATTTCACTCTTTAAAAACAGTAAGTTGTTCCCTTAAAATGAAACTCAGGATGTCACAAAATAAACAATATTCTTCTGAATTAAGTTCGCTCATTTCCAAACATTATCTAGCATACATAATGGAGTCAGGATTAAGGCAAAGTCACCCTTTGCACCAAGTTCTTGTCTTACTTCTCTCCAACTTTTTTCTTCTTGATATTGATTTAAAATCAAGCATACCATATGTACAGTATGAAACTAGTCGTGTCGTTCTTTCAGTCAAGTGCAGAATCCACACATATTTCTCATAAGGATTGGCATATTGATAAAGATGATACGGGTCTGGTTATTTGTAGAGCAAAACTCTGACCACAGATCTAGGCTTTTAAGAAACTTTTCATGATTTAACCTGGCAGCCAGCAACTAAGCCCTAGACAGCTGCTCACTCACCCATCCCATTCCATCACAGCAGGATGGGTAGGAGAGTGATTGAAAGGAGAAACTCATGGGTTGAGATAAAGACAGTTTAATAAAGCAACAAAGGAAATGCTACGACTACTACTAATAATAATGAATACGCAAAATACATAATGAATACGCAGTATACATACCATGATTTTCTCACTACCTGATGACCAATTTGCGGCCAGCCCCTGAACACAGAATTTGTGAATTTTGCGGAACTCTCTAGAAAGAACAAACTCCCACGCAAAAAAAAAAAGGATCATGGAAAAAAAGGAGACTCGTGCTCCCTGGACAACCCCCATTTATAAACTGAGCATGGCGTCTACTGTATACAGTATTTCCATTGGCCAACTTGGCTAGCTGCCTGGCTATGCTCCCTTCCAACTTCTGCACACCCGCCCATTAGCTGAATGTGAGAAACTGGAAAAAGTCCTTGATCTCTCAGGAACAACTATAACCATCAGTGTTATTGACATTCTTCTGGTACTAAATCCAAAACACAGCAGGTACTGGGGGGAAAATTAGCTCTATCCCAGCTTCAAACAGGACTAATCTGAGCTGACAGCTTTGTGTGTGGTGTTATCCGCTAGAAGGAAAAGTAGAGCAGAGTTTCATGAAATTAAAATGTGTTTTCATTGTGTGTTGTTTTTAATGTGTATAATCAGAGAGGCAAAAAAAAGTTACTTTTCTGATCTGGCAAATGCTTTGTGGAGTGATGTTGTGGAAAGAAATTACTAACTTATTTTGGCCTAACTTAAAAAAAATATATGCAAGAATTTCTTTATTAAATATGAATAAAATGTCTCCCATGCATAACTCATGTTCAGTTCAATCAATCTGCTCAGGATGGAGTGTCACATTAGTTAACACAGTTCAAAGAAAAATCTGTATAATGTTTCTGTACTGGAATGACAACTCCATGTGTTTATTACTGCTTAACAGGGAAGTAAAAAACACTACCTAGTTGGAAGATAAACTTGCTGAAACTAACTCCTCTTTGAACCACTTATGTTCCATCAGGCTTCCTTGGTGATCTGTAACATAACAATAGCAAATGAACTATAGTCCGTATGGGATATTCCCCAGGCTCTAAATTGCGTTGGGCTTTTTTCTGTTAAATTTTAACTGGTGATATTTCTGCAAAAAAGTCAAAAGCTCTGAAAAGTACACAAGAGAAAGAATTTA